AAAAGAATTTATCCCAAAATGTGTAGAGTACATTATGTACATTGTTGTATAATGGTCTCAGATACCTTAGGCACAAAACAGTTATAGTATATTCACAGTATGTTACCCCTATTAATAATTACTAGCCTCTCCTAACATTTTCTACTGTTTTAACAACTTTAACTGTTTTTACAGCAAAGGCTTAGTTGAGAAGAAACCAAACGTCTTTGAAAATACAATTACAAATAGAATTACTGAAGGTCGTTCATATGGTCGTATACATATGAAGCTAATATGAAGTGTTGCAGCCAATATAAAGTGTTGATAATCCATCGCATTTACTAATCAATTATGTCTAATTAACTCATTGCTAGTTGTTCCTCATTATTAACATTGCCACCTCTCTATACAATATGTAAAGCTGAACAAGGTAAAAGCTGAATGAGCAGAACCTGTGTCCTGTCATATTCATGTGCTATGAAAAGCTTTTCTCTTGTGCAGGAAAAATTATACATTCAGTAATACTGTATGTCTGTTTTTAGCATTATTTCTACAGTACATCATATCATTTTTTATAGAATATTATAATATCTTACTTAAGGAGAACTGTAATGCTATTTTTTATATTTCAGTATTATAAAGAATCAGCACTGATGAGTCCATTTCAAACCAAAATAAAAGTAAAATGTACACAGTAACTCCAATTGAAATATTGTTCTCAATTTGTACATGATTTTGCCGACAAATAAAACTTGCAGTACTTGTTAACTCTGCGTGCAGATCACTTTGGAACTTTGGAACATTTCTGCTGTGAAATGTCTGCTGCACAATCTGATTCGCTTGTTTATCAGATTACATTAGTCATTAGAGTGACTAGTGAGCAGGAAGGGCCGCTTCACATCGCAATTCACTCAAACTCTCACTCCTGCCCCTGGTGAGACCTTCAAAATATGCGTTTTTTTTTTTACTGTCAATGAATTTATTTTTTACAGAGATTTAATACCTGGTCTGTAATGGGAAATTGTAGTTTCCCTTTAATAATGGGTATTTTAAGGTGGTCAAAAATTATCTCCTAATGCAATACAATTAGGCTTTCTTAAGTATAAATTATTAAATTTATGTGACACTTCAACTTTGCCAGGTTTTGTTCTTTGTGTGGAACAAAACATGAGAATTCAAAAATGAAATTACATTTTTTAAATATGGTTTCTAAAGTGTTTTTTGGCTCCTTACTGGTTTATACATTTAAAGTTACAGCATGCATTTACAGTATGTAGAACTATTTATTTCCTGCTTAAACACCATAATGCTATTTTGGAGTTCTCATCATGCTTGTCATTATAATTGACAGTTATTTTCTAAAGTGCATATACTAGTGTATATAGTGAGAATTGACATCAAAATCCTCTCTTCATTGCAGCCCTGCATAGAAATAATGAAGAATAATAATACCTGCAGAACTTCTAACTTTATGCTTGCAGTTTCCAAGGCACACCTGATTAAGAAAAAACAACCATTGGCAATACCTCAGTACTCAAAATTCAGTGAAGCCAAGCTGTCACTGTAACACTTTGTCAGCACACTGTAAAATATCTATGAGCAATTTCCACTGTGCATACCTGCCTTCTTTCAATTAGCAGAGTCCAGCTTTCATTAGCCGATAGCAATTAGACATGATTAAAATAAAATAGAGTGAAATTCCACAAGGTGACATTTATTTCTTGAGACTGAGAGTATGAGCCTGTTAACTTGATTATATGGAGTATTCCTTAGCTGTCATCTATCTGTATAAGCAAAATCATCGATTTTCTGTGTGAATTAAAAACAAGACAAAACAGGAAGGTGTGTGTGTCTGCAGGGGCGATGTATAATTTAAAACTCTAGGGGCTGCTAGTTTAAGAAACTGTCAAGTGAAAAATATAACAAATATTTAATTCTTATACAGAAGAGCATTTAATTACAGGCTGTAAAGTAGCATTTGTACAGTAAGTGACTAATAAGTACAAGCTTATTTATCATTTTATCAACTATTGTACATTTCTAACCTTTTTGTTAATTTGAAGCAGTTTAAAAATGGAATAAATGAAGAATTTATGTTACTGCTCAACAGAATAATAATAATAAATATTTTGGCTGTAAAAGTTGAACAATTAAACGATGCTAATTAAAGACAGATAAACACACAGTAAAACCATGTAGTGCTTTTATGAGGTTTGTGAAAAAAGCTTTAAAAATGTTTCTGTCTTTAAATTCTCACAGCATCTGTAGATATAAATCTTTTCCTCTGTGGAAGCACAACTCCCATCCTACAGTCCAGATGTCCAAGCCTTTTTGTCTCTCTGTTCATTAAGCACAGTAACTACAGAATTGTGGGAGTTTGAAACAAACTGCCCAGCCATGTTGTTGAAGCCCTGGCATCTTTCCAGAAATGGCTGGAAGAGATCCTTGGATCAATTAGCCGCTAATGACCAACTGAGCTTAAAGGTTCTCTTTTGAAACATTTATATGTTCTTACAGCTGTAGATACTGCCGGTGGTTTGCCCAGCTACTTGTTTCCTTAACATACTTCTCAAAAAGGACTGACTGCTCAGCACATGCAAACAAATACAAATGTTTACACAAAACTTGGCTGCTGCTCCTGGACAAATTTTATTTATACCTTACCAGGTATATTAGGTACAGTATATTAAGATGTTTTAATGCAGCATTAAGAAAAATAAAATTGAGAAGAGTTGTTGAATTACAGGTTATTCTGGATAACTATTGACAGCCATTCCAACCCCCCCCCCCCTTCCCCTGGAATATGAAACTCAAACTTTAGGATGTGATGACAAGACTGGATCTATCGACCCATCCCAAGAGTTAGACACCTGAAGGTGAAGTGGCTCATGGTCGTGTCTGTGGAGACTCAGTTGCTTAAGGGTGCATAGCTGTTCTCAGTACATCACCAAGGATCACACAGGCTTACTTCTGTTCACAGAATAAATGTCTTCTTGTTAAGGACATTTTCACTTATGGCACTGTAATGGAAACTTACTGAAGAAAAGTGTTTTACCTAAAATGTTGTTTACGGGCAGAGCTGTGTTGCAGAAGCAGCTGGATTCTTAGAACAAAGTGTGATTGTACCCAGCAAGTCAAGGGCACGGGATGTTTTAATAATGTTTCTCGGCCCGAGAAAAGGCGATACAAAGCTGCACGTAACTGTCTTCTCTGTCCTTCAAGGCTAAGACCTATAAGGACTGGAAAATTACTGTCTTGCCTGTCTTCGTATTACTAACCAACCATAAAGAAGTAAACAAGTTGAGGTGTTGCATTAGCTACTGTAAGTGTATAAAATAAGGGACCTTTCCCTGTTTTACTTTGGAAATCAGCTCTCACTTGCTGCACAGACTGGTGGTTGCTGTTTTTCCCTATTGCACAATATGAATAAATGCCTTACTGAGAGAATGAGAACACCTTTGCTGGCTCTTCTTTGATAAAGATTCCACGACAGTACTCAATCAGAAAGATCTATAAATTATGACTTTACATGTTCTTCTCACAAAATCAAAATATCCTATGTTGCTAGAAAAACAGAAAGCTAAATCATTCTCTATTATGTGAGCCAAGGAGTCCTAGTTTAAAGCAAACAGTAATGAAAATTTAGTTAAATATAAAATAATGCAATGTCATTTGAACTGATTTTATTATTCAAATCAAGCCCACCTTGACACTAAGGACATCTGACAACAATTCCTAGTAAACTCCTACACAGCGAGTCTAGTAATCTTGTGTTTTTTTAGCACAAACAATCCCAATCCCATGAAAATGAAATCATGCACATTTGTTAACTGGACAAAACTGCTTGTCTCTTAATGTTAATGTAATTGTGTATCATTTTCCATAGAGAGGACTGATTTAATAAAGATTACTGTGAATACTTGTGTGTAAGTTCACACTAAAGTTAACAGGTTAAAGTGGAAAACTCACTTTGAGAGTGTCCAGAAATTATCTCCATATCTGATAGCTGGGTCAATGTTTTTTTTTCTAAATTTGGAAATCCAAATTATTGGTACAATTTTTTGCATACTGTACACTTATGAATCACTATTTGTTAATCAATTCACCCTCGATTATACCAAGTGAGGGATATGAATTGTGCATAGATAACGTACACCATCAGAGGCACCTGCCATTTTTCAAAATGAGATATCTCAAAGAGCCTGCAGGAGATCTTTTTTCCCCTTGTGGAAAGCAAATAAGTTTCAGATGTTTCACTCTATTGAACATCCATCCATCCATTTTTCTAACCACATTATCCAATAAAGGGTTGCAGAGGAGCCAAACCCTACCCCATCAAGCAAGGGACACAAGGTGGGATATACTCTGGATGGGACACCAGTCTATTGCAGGGTATGCAGTACAGTACACTGTACACATAAACACAGACACACCACGGCCAATCTTCCCAAACGTCAATTAACCCACCAGTGTGTCTTTGGAGTGTGGGAGGAAAATGGAGCACCTGAAGGAAACCCACGCAAACTTGGGAAGAACATACAAAACTCAACACAGATACAAGTAGCAGCCCAGATCTGGAATTGAAACTAGGGCCCCAGATCTGCTAGAAAGCATTGCTATTCACTGGACCATTGTCCACTGCTCTCTGTTGAACATCTTTATTGGAAATAACATCTCCTCCCCTCCCCAAATGTGTCCTGTTGCTCGGGGAATCCAGGCCAAAATAATCTAATGTGCCAGTTTAGATGCAAACCAGTCCTTGGTTCAATTTTGGATTCTATTAAGGATGAGTAGAATTTCAGATTTTTGTATGAATTTTTCTGACCTGCTTTTTGATGCCAATTGTCACTCCCATAATAATCTCAGGCAGTGAGGTTTAAATGAAAAGCTTGTTCTTGATGAAATGCAGGCAGTGCATCCTCAGACTGCAGGCATACACACACAGTGCCTGACCTGTGATGCTGTAATAGTGTCCAAATAGAATGAAACATTTAATCACTGTACACCCAGCCATAACTTACATTATAAAGAACTGTTGTCCATCCCTCCATTGTGATGCACTGGAAGACGGTCAGCACAGCAAATAAGATGTTGTCAAATTGAGTGATCCCATCATTTGGACCGATCCAGTCTGGAGTGCAGTTATATTTTTTGGGACATTCCCTAAATCCACAGGGAAATTCTAACTCAGATCCATCCACGGTTTCATTGTCTGAAATTAAATAATCATGGCTTTAGATATTAAACAACAATGTTCAGTGCTTCAGACAATAGAAAAACTAACAAAACAACAGGATTTCAAATGGATGCTCATATTCATGTGTTATGCTAAAAAAAGTTGCTAATCAAACAATCAATTATACAAAAGTACAAAACTAGTCAGTTTTATTTTGAATTGCCATATTATGGAATGTTTATTACGATGACTAATGTTTTATGATTTCCCTCATTCATTCTTAAGAGTATGTCTTTTAGTCTTAAGAGCATTAAGACATAATCGATATATAAAGCTCACACTTGGGGCATTATATGGTGTATATGTCAATCGTATAAAATTAGGTCTTTCCTTTTCACCCACCAATATAACAAGTGCAGAAGTTTTCTAATATTCCTGCAGTATTAGTGCTATAATCTGCACTTATATTTGACAATACATAAAACAGCATTAATCTGTATAATAACAATTAATTTTATGAAGTAGATTCTTTTGAAGGATATTGCCAAGGCTACCTACCTGCATGTGACCTACCTGCAAACCTGACAAATTACAGATCTAATAAATGTCAGTATTTGTTAAACAACTATAAAGATGTTATTATGTATCTATATTCCTATGGTTTTACTAATAGTTGTTTTGCTAATGTATTAATATTGCATATAAACCATAGATTTTATATTCGGAAATAATAATTTGTTGAAGTTTATTAATTTCAATGTTCAGATGTAATAATTGCTTTTGTAACTGAAATAGAAATAACAATGTAAGGAAGCCACTCTTGCACTGATTTTGCCAAGAGTAAGTTAGAAAATTTACTGTATCTGGTAGAATGCTCGTATTAACATACTGTATAAGATGTTATGTTCTGTTTCTACCCACTACAGTAGTACGTCTGCAGGGAGCTGGATTGTGCAGATTTATTTTTTATTTATACCTAATGTCCTGGGCAATGTTGCTATTTATCAATGTAATACAATCAAGTGCAGATGACATTTCGTGTGACAGCTTATTTTATTATCTTGTCAGTGATGACTCAGTTGCACTCATATAGGGGACAAAACCTCTAAATTCATTAACATCAAGCACCGGACAAATCACAACAGGCTTTAAATCATGATTTTTTCTCTCTCTATCCATCCAGGCACCCATGTAATCTATTTTTCAAATCACGTTCTCTGTATTCTTTCTTCACTATGATTATTGATCAACTTTTTATATTATTGGCAATGTTTGCATTTTAATTATTAGTAACTTTTTGTGGGATAGCAAAAATCGAGCTCTTCCGCTGCATTAATAACCAGCTGGTTGTTGTCAGCATCCCCAGGAAGAGGTGTTAGGAATCCACCAGGGGTGTTAAACTAATCCTGTAATGTTAGTGTAGGCTATTATTAGTAAGAGCAATTAAACCACTTTATATAGTGGCTGCAGTAACACATTGCAAAAATGATGATAACAAGGAAAAATGGTAGCTTATCAGGTTTTTATATAGAACTAGGACAAAACCTTTCACCATGCTGTCACAAAAGTCCTTAACAATTAATTGAGCCAGTAATGGCTACAAAATCGAACAGTAAAACTGTGAAAAAAGTACAAAAACAGATAATAGATCTTATTATGCAAATATACAGATTTCATCTGTTCAGATACCTTGGATAATTATGCAGATTCTCACCTTCTGTCTAAACATATATGTATTTTAACAAAATTCTTCATCAACACACAAAGGGTCATAACTCAAGATGATCTAATTTAGCTGCTACTGTACATTAACAGACATTACCTCCCCTTTTTTACCAAATACTTGTACATTTTGTCAATGCTGTATAAATATAGTTCCGGTACTGCTCTGAAAAATCCTTCTAGAAAAGCAGGACATTTTCCATTACCTAGGATGTTGGGCGCCTGAGTGCAGGTATGGTGCAGTTTTCCACTGTAGAATTCCAGCCCAATTATCGCAAACATGAGGATGGCAAAGAACAGCAGAAGCCCGATCTGAAGTAGTGGCACCATGGCTTTCATGATGGACTTCAGGACAATCTGGAGACCTGGAACAGATGAAGACTTGCTTACACAATGTTCAAGTCTATGGTTAAAGTTGTTTGACGGCAACAGCTCATGTCTAAGAAATAGATGGCAATAAGAAATTCATCACTTAAAATTATCTGCTTGCTAGTATGCATTTATGTATATGCCTGCATCGCTTAAAATGTCTTTACAACTCTGTAAACAACAGCTGCACAAACAATGCAGTCCTGCAGTATGGTGCATACACAATAAAAATGAAAATTAAATAGGCTTCTTTGCATTTAATTCAAATGTTGCAGTATCTTGTCTTCTCAAAGATACAAGGCTTTCTGTGATTGCCTACATTCCCTGAATCACCTCTCTAAAGAAAAGCTCTTCAAGGAAAGCTTACTAAATAGGAACGAAACGTTGTGTTCTCTTTCTTCTTTTTTTCAGCATGGAATAAACCTATTACTTGTTCCTTTGCAGCCTACGTATGCTGACGCAGCTACCCACCTGAACTACTAAAGCTTACTAAATATGCTAGGATCCCAATATAATAACATACTGTATTGAGAAAACTCTCTTTGTAGAACAGGCAGATTATGTAACTTGAGTGTAATCTACTATCCACATATATTCAGATCTGTTTGAATAATAATTGCCTATACTTATATAGCACTTTTCTGAACACTCCACCCAAACTGCTTTACAGGTAATGGGGACTCCCCTCCACCACCACCAATGTGCAGCATCCACCTGGATGATGCAACAGGATCCACAGTGCACCTGTACACTCACCACACACCATCTATCAGTGGGGAGGAGAGCAGAGTAATGAAACCAATTCATAGATGGGGATTATTATGAGCCCACGATCAATAAAGATCAATGGGAAAATTTGCTAGGATGCCAGGGTAACACCCCTACTCTTTTCAAGAAATGTTCTGGGAATTTTAATGACCACAGAGAGTCAGGACTTTGCTTTTACATCTCATCCAAAGGACAGTGCCTTTTTACAGTACAGTGTCCCCGTCACTATACTGGGGCATGAGGATCTACTGTACACAGATTGCAGGGTAAGAACCCTTTACTGGCCCCACTTACACTTATTAGATCTGTTTTAGAGGTTATAGCAGATGCCATACTGTATATGTTAAAGAGTGCTTTTCTTTTCTATGTGACCAAAAAGAGACCTGTTTCTACAGATACTAGATTGGTAAAGGTGTAGACAGAGAATCTGTTTGTTGAAATATACATTTTTTAATAGGAACCTCCAAGTTAAATGATGTATTACATATGTTTAAAGTGTATAATATCTGGCAATAAGTTAAAAATGCTTACAACCTCTTCTGACAAGTCACTAATGTTTCCAGGACAGTAGAAAAGAATGAAGAAAAAAACATTTCTGCATCACTACAATAATGTTTGGAATCCTGAATTCCACTGATTATTCTTTCTTTGATCATTTACAAAAGCATTTGGTAACCGGGACTCCCTAAGCAACAGTAAAACCAAAGAGCTGCTGACTTGGTGATATAGGTGGAGGTGAGAGAGTAGGTTTTCCAGAGTAGGAAGATGGTGAAACAATGTCTAAAGTCCTACATCTAAACTGAAGTGAACATCTGATCTCACCTGTGGTTTGTTTTTCTCACAACCTTTTGTTACAAACTCTTTTTACAGTTATTGGTATTTGGAGAAAACCTTCCTAGACCTGGCCCTCAGGATCCAGGAGTCTTTAGTTCATTTTAGCTGAGCAATCAATTATTTAATTAGACTGCCAGTTGTATAATTCTCTTCACACTAATTATACCCTTTAAATATTAGTTGGCTACTGCAAAGTTACAGATTGCAAGTAACTCAAAAGGGGTAGTGTACATTGCAATTTCCAATTGTCTAAGACCTGAAAACCGTAAAATTAGGGTAATCAGCTACTCGCTTGGCTCGGTGAACGGCTCATATAAGCCTGGGAGTTCAGGCAGAAAGGAACAAAAAGCGAGCTGGTTCAGAGAAAGAAAACGCATTGGAGCAAACTTACTGGGGATCCCGGAGACTAGCTTGAGTGGTCTCAGTACCCGAACAGCCCTCAGTGTCCGCAGGTCCACATGCGTGTTAATTTGTGCTTCTGCTGTAGCCAGGATGCTGGAAAGAGACAAAGATGCACTTGAACATTGTTCTCCATTTTTCCCTTGTGCTGTATACAGCTGAAGGTTTGATTTTCCCCATTGCATTACTGTTTATTAGAGAACAAAACCATCTTCTGTAGCCATCATGCAACAGAAGAAACAAAGAAACTGAATGTTTTTAGAGAATTATAATGCCAATTGGGGGCTTTTTTGCTGTTAGAATTTCACTCTCAGTATAGTGCAGGAACACTTTAAATGCAATTGGTTACAACCCAATGGCTTGGCCAACCTGATCATCAGAAATTAGGTTTCCAGATACAACAACCACAAAAATCTGTCAGTTGTAAACAAATGTTTTCACAGCTTTAGAGTTGAGAAAAAGATTTCCTTGCCAGTCCTTACACACATTTCCACACACAGTAAGTGTGCAAACAAAATATGTATATAATAAAAAAGAGGCCACAGGTCTTCACTATTTACATACTGAATAACCAAATCACTCAATTATTTTTGGGAATAGATCAAAATACATTCATTACAATACATAGTGTACTGTTTGCAAAGCAATCTAAGATGCTGAATACAGTACATCTGTTAGGAATTTACTATGATTTAAGAAAAATACAATTCACATTTTGCTCTGGTTAATTTACTTGTGTTCTTGTCATCTGGGGAGGTATTTAGATCTTATGTTGGGGCCCATTTATAACTAACGAAGTGCTTTTTCTGAAAACATGAGACTTCTTGAAAGACACAGTTGATGCATTTCATTTTGAAATTATTAGTGCGATTATCATCCCATTCGGAGAAATCCTTTGTGTTTACATGTGTTTTCTACATCAGTTCCATCGGCTTCAAGGAAAAGTAATAGTTTTTTTTAATGTCTTCATTCAAACAATGTAAGAGCTTTTCAACACACACACAACATGTATTCTGTCTGTTCCTTGGGAAGCTTTTAATTTCCCATACCACAATACACATACACACTGACTGTGTACAGTACAGTGTACTAGGATAACACAGTTAAAACTATTATTATTATTGCTTAACAGCTAAGCATAGTAATTTTCATTTGTGATCAATATGATCAATATGAATAATAACTACAACACACAACATTTGTTTACCATTTTAATGTAAAATACAGTGTATTCATTCTATTTAAAATGTGTTAATGGGGGAACAGGAACTTTCTGTCATCAAAGTACAGAACAGCAAACACACGACTCAAGAGAGAAATTTGACGTGTAATTTGATTTATGAAATGGATTATGAGACTGAACTCTTCCCTATCATGCAGACTGTCTGTTTTTGTTCTTATGGTTATGGTCTTATTATAAATAAAATATATAGCATTGTTCTAATAATTAACATCAATCTCATGTTCAGAAACAGATTTCTTTACAGTAAAATAAAAATAACAGCTTTGCGCCTGTTGTCCCAAAACCTTTGGAGACTACTGTGTATATATTGTAAATCCATATTACACCCTTATTACACCAATTTATCTGCTAGACAAGCATCAATCTTATTCAATCTGTTGATAATCTTATCTAAAATGTTTAAATTATGTGACAAAGCATTTTCATATCATGTTGTGATATATTTAGAGCTATACTAATAGTGGATGTTTCCAGAGTATCCAATATTCTGTGTGCAGCACAGGCCAGCAAATTAAAAGGTACAGTATGAAATTACTGAGATTACAATGTGGTGCACAGTTAGGTCATTGATAAGAACAGTTTCATGTTGTACTATCAGAAAAAATGAACTGTCAATTCAGCAACGTTAAATTTCATTTTATTCTCAAAGTGTCATATTTAAACGTGCCAAATTAATGTTCACAGTTACTGTATCTAGATGTCTATCTGTTGAAGAAAAAAACAAACATGAATAGTGGAGCACTGACATGCTGCTGTACTGTAAACTACTGTAGCTACACATTAGACTTTTAGACTTTAGAGTCATTGTCACATTTAAAATTCGTATCGTGTATGTATTTTTACAGACACAAGATTTATGTGATGAGATCACGAACAAAAAGACAAAACTTTCTTTCTCCTATTCACTAGGAAAAGTTTTTGTATCACCATCTCATCATGACTAATGAGTCATGAAATCCATGTGCTATTTGAGAGAGTTGAGCACCATTGGCAACGATGTCCAAGTGACAGGAGGAGACAGAAGAGATTAAGTGCCAGTAGGAGGGGTGTGTGTGATCTCAGCAAATAGACTACAATGCAGCTTATTTTACTGTGGAAACTTCCCAGGGGTCTGAAACGGCCTGGAAAACCTTAAATACAAGTTATCTTCAAAATAATAATAGTTCATTTCCGGGATTTAAGATACTTAAGCAGCTGAGGTAAATAATATTACACAACACCGAGACAGAATACCAAGTATATCAGTTTATAATAGTTTAGATGTACAGTATGCATGTGGTGGTCATGTAAAGGACCATTCCATGGGACTGCAGTGAATATACAGCCTTTGCATGTGCTTGTGTGGACTGTGAAGATTAGACACTTAGAGGTTGACTAGTGACAGTGATTTCAAGCTGGAGTTCAACCACACCTGTTCCCCCTTTAGCCAATCATTGTGATGGTTCTCCACAACTGGATGGAGTATCTATCTATTACCATGGGAGAGGAAAGGGAATCAGTCCCTGGACCCCAGTGTTATCAGCTATATTCCTCAAAGCAGCCAAACTTCCCAGGCTCCTGCTAAACTAAGCCACACACAGAAGCAACAGAGACTACACAATATAATTATTAGAGAGATTCACCATTAATAATAATAATAACTGGGAATATATCAATTGTTAAGAGTAATTAATGCATTAATAATACATGTAGGATTTAAAAAGTGTTAAGTAACAGACCTTATTTTACAGATTTGACAAAAATGTCTTGAGTCCAATAAAAGCGATGCTGATAAAAAAATTCACAGCCATATTTGAGAAGAATTTAATACTGTATGTGTTTGAATTTTCGGGTTAAAACCTACTATTAAGCGTGGTTGGAATTTGGGTCATACATTTAAATTGCCATGGATTGTTTTCACATGTCCTTTTGTAGATTATAGGTTGTATGGATGCTTGCATAGATTTGGTTTGGTCTCTCAGAACCAAAGGTCTTAAACAAATAGAGATGTTTTTTCATTTCAATGTTCAGGAAAATAGTGGATCAATGGTGTTAATCCTATACATTCATAAAACCTATTGGATGTTTCAGAACAAAGCCTACATAAATATCCATCCAGGACAAGGGCTTAGTTCTTACAAACATGTACACTGTGTATCAATATCTATACACATCTACACAGCACATGTAGAGTGTTATATTAGCTTCCCTTTCATGTGGGAACATACTTTTACGGGTAAAAGTATTTATTCAGGATTTATTCAAGTATTTTATTTTAAAGTTTTTTAATGATTTATACATTTCCAAACCATCTTGATTTTTTATGTCTATCATCTGTGTCCATAAGGTTATGTTAACATGAAGGGAAGTGGTTTGGCTATTAAGGCATTTATAACAAAATCGTTTTTTGATGTTAATATGTTGCTTTTGTGTCATGATTCTGGTGTCCTATCAGTAAACCACTCAAATATATTTTTTAAATTGCCAATAATTTTTTGCATCCTCCCAATGTCGAATGCCCTGCAATGATGAACCTTGTGCTGGTACAGGTTTAATAAGCATGGCATCTGTTTTGCTCTGTCACCAGCAGAGGCATTTACTATTTTACATGCTGCAAACTCCACAGTGCCCTGGAGTGACAGAAGATGCATTGTGACTCTCACTGTCAACACTGTGGAGCTCACAGCTGCCAGTCAGGTCACAGGGTTACCATGGATACGCTGGCTAATGTGAGGTCACCTCCAGGTAAATGTGCTCCACTGCTAGAGAAATCCCAGTCATGTTCAAGATTGGGCTATACAGCTCAGAACTATGCAGCTAAACTGTTTGTTTTGTGGTCGAGACACTTTGTATTACTTTTTTTTTTCAGGTTGTTGTACAGTACATCCCCAGTAACAGAAAAAGCAAAACATGAATCCCAAACTCAGTGGAGTAGTAAAGGTTTTTGTTCCTGCTTAGGACAAAGACTCTACAATATACAGTACCACTTAAATGAAACTGAGAAATGACACTAGACACAGGTAATGTCTTCAATGAGTTTGTCTGCAAATGTGGACTAACATATAGTACTGTATCACTTTTCCACACCCTTTCCAAATGTTTTCATAAGATGTATTATACTGAGATTTTACAGATTGTCACTTGCTATTTTATATGTTTATTTAATCAGAAAAGTTATGATTTTTTATGTGTAAAATTATTGATACAGAAAAATAATGTGGTAATCAATAATGAGAAGATTATTTTTTAAAGCAGAGTTACCAACCACAACATACAACAGTAGGGTGTGTTGAGAGCAATCACATTGTCTTCACAGTGCTTTTTATATTTTCTTGTACTTTAAATGTCAAATCATCAGCAACACATGTTTTTATGAAACCTGCTTGACAGAATGAAGCAGATGGATTCCAGTGAGGACCGGACAATTATGCAATGAGCGAGACAGATAAACAAAGATCTACTTTACTTTTGCATTAGGGAAGGAGGCATCTAAGATGTTAAAGGTAGAAAAATTAAATCTCATTCAACAGGACTTCTTTGTCCCAGCTTTAGTTTCAGTTAGCTTTGTACAGTATAATCAGTAGTTCAACAGGACACATTTAAAAATGTTAAATATCTTTTATTTTTTTAAGATTCAAAAGACCATTGTGAATGATACCACGGTAGGTATATATTATTTTCCCTGCCCTGGTTAGTGTCTTCACAAATGAACAATTACACAAACTCAGCAATTAAGTATTAAGCTCTTGAATGCAAAAAGCAAAAAGAGAGAGTGTCTCAACAGTAGGAATGGACCAATCCAGTCTTCAGGTCCTGAGAGTCCTCTGACTCATGGTGTATTTTTTCATTTTTATCTATCTTAATCAGCTGCTAA